TATTGCATATTAAAAGGTGATAAATAGTATGAAGAAAAATAAAGCAGAGAAGTGGGGACAGGGAGTGGTAGGAGGGTTGCAGTTTTAAACAGGGTGGTTAGAGAAGGCTTTGCTGAGATGACATTTGAACAAAGAACCAAAGGTAGTGAGAGTGAGTTGAGTGAGTCATGGTCTACCCAGGGGAAAAGTATCCAGATAGAGGGAAAAGCAAGTGCAACAAAGGCCTTGAGGTGGGAGCGTGTTTGATGTATATGAGGAAGAGTAAGGAGGCCAGCATGGCTAGAGCAGAGTAACAGAGACAAAGTCAAAGAGGTCAAAGGGGAATGCAGTGCACATAGAGGGCCAATATGTCATTATAAAGGCTTTGGCTTGGGGCCAGGCGGTGACTCACTCCTGTAATCCTAGCACTTTGGGAGGCTGAGGTGAGCAGATCTCTTGAACCCAGGAGTTTGAGACCAGCCTGGGCAACATAGTGAATACCTATCTCCACAAAAAATAGAAAAATTAGCCAGGTGTGATGGTGCACACCTGTAATCCCAGCTATTTGGGAGGCTGAGATGGGAGGATCACTTAAACCTGGGAGGTTGAGGCTTCAGTGAACCATTATGGTGCCACTGCAAGACCCTGTCTCAAAAAAGAAAAAAAGAAAAAAAGAAAAAAAGACTTTGGCTTTTACTCTGAGGGAAATGGGAGGGTTTTGAAGGTTTTGAGTGGAGGAGTGATATGATCTGCAGTGTTTGGAAGACTCATTTGGTGCTGTAGGAGTCAAGGAGTCAGCTAGACACAGGGAGTGTTGTGAGTAGGCTGTTCAGCAGGCAGAGCAGGGGAGCAGCAGTCAAAGGTGCAAGCAGGGAGACCAGTTATTAGCCAGGGAAAAATTAATGTATGTAAAGTGCTTGCTCAGAGCTTTGCATTTAATATATGTTCAATAAATGGTATCAACTATGTGAATACCTATCAAATTCTACCATTAACCAAATCAAGACTTGCTTTCTCAGGAAATTAAATGAATTACCTTTGCCACCTATTTGACATTTATTTAACATATTTTGAATTAATTTACTTCTGTATATTTATTTAAATATCCACATATTTCTGACTTTTCTCTCCATATGTGTGTGTGTGTGTGTGTGTGTGTGTGTATACACATATAATTATTATTTTCTTTCTTTCTTTCTTTTGAGACAGGGTCTCATTTTGTCACTCAGGCTGGAGTGCAGTGGGGTGAACATGGCTCACTATAGCCTTGACCCCCAGGCTCAAGCAATCCTCCTGCTTTAGCCCTTTAAGTAGCTGAGACAACAGGTGTGTGCCACCATGGTGGCTAATTTTTTGTTGTTTTTTGCATACAAAAATTTACCGCTACGGTTTTTTTTCCTTTATTTTTGAGACTAAGTCTCACTCTGTCATCCAGGCTGGAGTGCAGTGGTGCGATCTCAACTCACTGCAACCTCTACCTCCCAGATTCAAGCGATGCTTGTGCCTTGGCCTCCTGAGTAGCTGGGATTATAAGCGCACAGTACCACACCCAGCAAATTTTTTTATTTTCAGTAGAGACGGGGTTTCACCATGTTGGCCAGGCTGGTCTTGAACTCCTGGCCTCAAGCAATCCAGGATTGCTGCCTTGGCCTCCCAAAGTGTTGGAATTACAGACGTGAGCCACCACACCTAGCCCATCACCACAGTGTTTTCACCATTCAAGTTTATGATCTTGGTCTTTCCTTTGTGCCTTTGTATAGGGCCAAAAGAGAGACATTGGGTACTTTGACAACCTTAAAGCAGACTCCAGGAATATCACCTTTTTTTTTTTTTTTTTTTTTTTTGAGATGGAGTCTCGCTCTCATTGCCCAGGCTGAAGTGCAGTGGCATGATCTCGGCTCAACACAACCGCTGCCTCCCAGGTTCAAGCGATTCTCCTGCCTCAGCCTCCTGAGTAGCTGGGATTATAGGCGCCTGCCACCATGCCTAGCTAATTTTTAAAAATTTTTAGTAGGGATGGGGTTTCACCATGTTGGCCAGGCTGGTCTTGAACTCCTGACCTCATGATCCACCCGCCTTGGCCTCCCAAAGTGCTGGGATTACAAGCGTGAGCCACTGTGCCCAGCCCAGCATGACCTTTTTAATCAAATCCAGCAACAAGAACTTTACCGTTTTTCTCAATAAAGTTCAAGCAACCACCATTGGGTACAAAGGCTGTGATTTTCTTGCTATTCTTGATCAGCTGGATGCTGGCACACTTCCTGATGGCAGAATTTGGCTGTTTGGCTTCAACCCCTACTTTTTCCAGCACAATTCCTTTTGCATGAGAAGCACCTCTCATGCAACCCTCAAAAGGGCTGGCCTTCAGGGCTGTGCCCAAATGGGCTTTCTTGTACTGTTTATCATGCCACTTCTGGTCTCGTCAGTGACTATGGCGCTTCCTAGCAGCATGAAGTCCATGATACTTGCCCATCCTGTTGTCACCACAGGCCTGAGTGAAAGAGCTAATTAAAAAAAAAAAAAAAGAAAGAGCTACTTTTTGTAGACACAGGGTTTCACCAGGTTGCCCAGGTTGGTCTCAAACTCATGGGCTCAAGTGATCTATGCACCTTAGCCTCTCAAAATGTCTCCATTTATACGTTAAATACTATGTCTTAAACATTTTTAATCTCCTTAGGTATCAGTCAATAGCAAGATGACCAGATAAATAATAACCAGATAAGATAACCAGATAAGTAACAGCCACGCCACAATAACAATAAAAACGCCAACATCAGCTAACATTTCCTAAGCACTTACTGGGTGTGAGAGGCAGTATAGGGAGATAAATAAGAGCATGAGTTCTGGAATCAGACTGTGCTAAAATATAGGTACAACTCCCTCTTGGGCAACTTATTTAACTGACCTGTGCTGCAGCTTTTTCATCTGTAAAGTGGGAGTGATCATAGTATATACTCATTAGGGAGGTGAGGATTAAATTAGATAATATGTATATTCTTTTTTAAAAAATTTATTTTTATTTTTTTTTAGAGGAAGGTCTCACTCTGTTGCCCAGGTTGGAGTGCAGTGGCACAATCACAGCTCACTGTGACCTCAAATTCCTGGGCTCAAATGAACTTCTTGAATAGCTTGGACTACAGGTATTCGCCACCATGCCTAGTTAATTTTTTAAATTTTGTAGAGTTGGGGGTCTTGCTATGTTGCCCAGGCTGATATGGAGCTTCTAGTCTTTTTTTTTATTTTTTTTTTTTTGAGACGGAGTCTCACTCTGTCGCCCAGGCTGGAGTGCAGTGGCCGGATCTCAGCTCACTGCAAGCTCCGCCTCCTGGGTTTATGCCATTCTCCTGCCTCAGCCTCCCGAGTAGCTGGGACTACAGGCGCCCGCCACCTCGCCCGGCTACTTTTTTTGTATTTTTTAGTAGAGACGGGGTTTCACCGTATTAGCCAGGATAGTCTCGATCTCCTGACCTCGTGATCCGCCCGTCTCGGCCTCCCAAAGTGCTGGGATTACAGGCTTGAGCCACCGTGTCCGGCCGGAGCTTCTAGTCTTAAGTCATCCTCCCATCTCAGCCCCCTGAGTGGCTGAGATTACAAGTACGAGCCATGGTGCTTGGCTATAATTTTTTTTAAATGAAGCTTCAATTTTCTTTTTTTTTCTTTTTTATTTTTTTTGAGATAGAGTCTCACTCTGTTGCCCAGGCTGGGGTGCAGTGGAGTGATCTCAGCTCACTGCAACCTCCGCATCCCAGGTTCAAGCTATTTTCCTGCCTTGGCCTCCCGAGTAGCTGAGATTACAGGCGCCCACCACTACGCCCGGCTAATTTTTGTATTTTTAGTAGAGACAGGGTTTCACCATGTTGGCCAGGCTGGTCTCAAACTCCTGACCTTGTGATTCGCCTGCCTCAGCCTCCCAAAGTGCTGGGATTATAGGCGTGAGTCACCGCCCAGCTGAAGCTTCAATTTTCAAGATAGTATGTGTGTGCTTAGTCTAGTTACTTCCACACAATAATAATAGCTAACATTTATTGAGCTCTTATAATATGCTAAGCACTTCACATGTATTGTCACACATCAGTCCCACAATTGTCCTATAAGGTAGGTATTATCATTCCCTTTTTATAGATGAGGAAACTGAGATCGAGAAGTTAAACCAAGTATCGAATTTGTGTACTAACATTAGGCTTTACTAAGTGTCTTTGAGTTGGAATGAAAAGTAGAATTTTGTGCATCCTCTATTCTACATCTGACAGAGCGATAGGAGAGTATAAAGAGACTACCTATTGAGGGGCAGAAGAAGATTTTTACATTGTTGGTGGTATTCTATACTCTTAAGTCTCTCTAGGTGGAGACTGGAATGCTTTGAAGGAGTATGAGTTGAGAAAGACTGATAATAGCAACATTTGTTTAATTTCTATAAGACAATGATAAAAATAGATTGAAGTGATTTACTTTCAGCACTACTTGCTGGAATAAATAACACAGTTGGTGTGTGTTATTTATTTAAAGGATGAGAATTAAAGGTTTAAAGGATGAGAATGTTTCCTCATCCTTTAGTCTCAAGTCTAATTCTGGCTCTGCTCTAGTCCAAAGGCTACTTTCAGAGGTCTGAATTTGCTGTACCTCATCTCAAGAGCCCCTGGTAGTTTCAGCACGAACAAGAGCATCTTATATTCCAAACTAGATTTCTAAGCCCACCCAAAATTATTCCTGGAAAAGTCTTGTTCTGCTGGGATTCTTTGGCCTGAGATAGAGGAGGCTAAAATTTCTTGGTTGTCTTAGGTCCTCAGTGGGGCCCTGAGGTGGTTTGAGGTCAGCTTTGCAGTTTTAGAACTGGGCAGGATTGTGGAGATGAGGGAATAAGGTCTCACGTTGTAGCACAAGGGCATTTGCCCAGATACCTTCTTCTCCTTAGTTTTGGACCAGACCCTGTGGAGTTGGATGTTAGTGAGAGGTGACTGCCATGTTAATATCTTCATAATGCTTCTGAGAAGGCTGTTTCTGCTCCTTTCCTTCTCACTTACCTTACTATTTCTAGTATAGACTTTTTGGGTAGGGCTGAAGTCTCTAGAAGCTTTGATAGGATTTCAAACAATAGGATTCCTGGGTTGCCAGCTAAATCTAAACAGGTCTCCTTTTCTGGAACTATGGAGGGAAAACAAAAGATAGATTTTTAAATACCTTCTGAAATTAGAAATCGACCACGTCTTTACTGATTATTTATAATAATAATATCAAGTCAGGAACTAGAGGTACAGTAAAACATTAAAAGTCTGTTCTATTTGGTAGAAAGGCCATTTTGGTTACTGAGCAGACAGAATAAAATGGAATGTTAAAAAATACTTTTAGTTCAATAACGTCTAAGCAAATGTAGTGATATTTTTAACACAAACATGAATTTTGTGTTAATGATTATTTCCTGGTTCTAGGCAAACTCCCATTACTATAGTACTACTTGTAAGAAATAACTTCTCTTTATCCTAAGAACAGTTCATAGCTTATGAATGAATATATTTTCAAAACTGTATACAGTATTTGGAATTTGGAATGTTTATCCTAGAAAACATGAATAATGATTAGCTTTTCCAAGGCAGCCTGTTAAACTTATAAACAATGAGGGGATTAATGACAATATTTCCACTATACCTACACATCATTTATAACCTTGGGGGAGAAATAACAGAAAAATTATTTTCTATTAGTTAGTGGAAGCATGTGACACCTTAACTAATGCTTTCTAACCTACAGCAGACTCTTCAGCTCTAGCACTGAGGGTAGAGGCTTCATCAGTGTGAGGAAGCTATTTTTTCAAGAACAGTAAATTATCGACACTCTAGATTTACATGAGAGTGCATTTTTCTTTTTGTGAAAAAAAATTTTTTTAAAAAATAAAAGCAATGCCTCTCAAAGTAGTGCATACACTTGGTAAATAATTCAGACATTATAGGCCAGGCGCAGTGACTCACGCCTGTAATCCCAGCACTTTGGGAGGCCGAGGTGGGTGGATCATGAGGTCAGGAGATCGAGACCATCCTGGCTAATGCTGTGAAACCCCATCTCTACTAAAAATACAAAAAATTAGCCGAGTGTGGTGGCAGGCACCTGTAGTGCCAGCTACTGGGAGGCTGAGGCAGGAGAATGGCATGAACCCGGGAGGCAGAGCTTGCAGTGCACCGAGATCGCACCACTGCACTCCAGCCTGGACGACGGAGCAAGACTCCGTCTCAAAAAAAAAAAAAAAAAAAAAAAGAATTCAGACATTATAGAAGGCAGCCAAATTTTTCTACACCAGTCACTCACTCAGTGTTCTCACTGGAGACCAAAGGGCAGTGTCTCCTGCAGGAGGCATTTGGACAGTGCAAGTGCCTGCCTGATGTAGTTAACACTGTACCAATTTGTTTAGCAAATACTGTTCTGGAGAAGCAGTTCAAAAGTAACTCACATCCCAGACTACACCTTCCTGACCTGTCTCCCAACTGGAAGCCTGTGAATGATGTTTACTGTGCAGTGAGTTGTAGCTGCCCAGCTGCCTTCTGTTCATAACGTCTGTACTTACCCACTGCCTTGAGGAAGAGATTCTTATCTGTTAGCACCTTGATAAAGTCTGAGAAGTTCACCTTCCCATCTCCTGCAACAAAAATCTGAGACTCAGGACAATGATAAGATGTATTTAAATTATCAGAGTATATATTAAATGTAAAAATTAAAACACTCTGGATGATTTAATATTAAAAAAAGAGCATTTGAATTGAGCAAAAAAAGAGCATTGGAAATATGCTCAGGTGAGCCCTGGTCTTCTTGAAGTGGTCTTAGCACCATTACATGAGTCCTCCACAGCCCACAGAAGCAACAGTGGTTGTAAACATCCAGCCAGGAACACCCAGCCATTGCAGTCTGTCCGCCTGCTCTTTTCTCAGAGCCTGGCCATGTTTGCAAGGAATCTGCCCTGTCTTCCCATGCTATAACCGCCCCTATTATTCCTATTTTAACATCCCCAAGCTGTATTCCATTTCCTCTAAAATTGGAGGATGATGAGTATTATTAGAGGGGTATGTGTGTGTTTCCATGAAATAACAGAAAAATTTGACACGGTTAGTAGAAGCAAGTGACACCTTAAGTGACATTGAATGACAGGTGGAACTGATGTTGATTGAATGGGGCACTGACAGTTGGGTAGACAGAGGTGAGAGGAGATAATATGCTGAATATATTTTTCACACAGCATATCAGTTTGGGCTACTAATAATTCGGTCAGTATATTCACTAAAAACATTACCTGTATGCTTTAAAAATACCAACAAAAGTGCTATGGCATTTAAAATTCAGTGTAGGTAGGACTTGATGGAAAAAGAAAGATTTGTTCTATTTTGATTCAAACAGAAACAAAAGGCTTGAATTCTCTTGGTAATGAGTCATTATTAACATTGTTACTGCTTTTGTATCTGTTACTTCAGGGCACCCTCCATGTACAGCTTTCATGTACATCAGGACAGGTAACCTGAATTTGATATTGAAATCAGACAATCACTCTTGACTTCTACACAGCGTTTTTCAAATAGTCCATTTTCTAGGATTAATTTGATTTCACAACTTGTACACATACCTCACTGATCTCCTTAAAGGGACATACACCATACACACACAGACACACACACATATGTGTGTGTCTCTTTAAGGATACATATGTGTGTGTATACATAGATATATGGATATATACATATATGCGTATTTGTATATAGTATTCAAATATATAGTCTACAAACATATACAAATATGCAAATATACAAATATATATATATGGGAGCAAGTAAATAAGGTTTGTTTCTCATGTTTATACAGTCATTAAAAGAAAACTATATATTCACAAAAATCTTTTATGGGAAAAGCAATGAGAAGCCAAATGACTCACGATCAATATCAGCACATTTCAATTCATTATAGACATCATGCTTGGTTAGATTCATTCCCAGCTTAGCTACAGTGCACATCAGTCCATGGAAATCAATACAGCCAGTTTTGTCCTTGTTGAAGAAGTTGTAGGCATCTTGGAAAGCTGGGGAAATAGGATTAAGTTATTCAGGACAGTTATTCAAGAATAAGTATATACACTAATAGGACTAGGACAGACAATATAGTTGACTGGAGATCATGTTCTAAAAAAAGGATTGTGAAAAAATGAGTGCTTAATAGACATTTCTTATACAGTATCCTTCCATGGAACTTGAACTGGAATGAACTAACTGTTGCAAAACCAAGTGTTGGTAAGTAAGATGGCCTTCCAAAGATATCCACACTGTAATCCCTTAACCTGTGAATATGCTATCTTACATGGCAAAAGGGACTTTGTACATATAATTAAGATAGATTCTTCTGGGCTTGATCTAATTACATTATCCCTTATATAGCTAGAAGCCAGAGAGATGTGGCAGAAATCAGAGAGATTTAGAGCAAGAGAAAGACCTCACCCACCATTGCTGGTTTATCAGCCAGGAACTTCTCTGCCTGCTAAAGAGGCTGAGAAGCTCCTGGCTGATAAACAGCAGGGAAACTGGAATGTCAGTCCTACAAGAGAAAAGAACAGAATTCTGCCAAAAATCTGAATGAGACTGGAAGCAGATTCTCCTCCAGTGCCCCTAAATAAGAGGCCAGGCTGGCCAACACCTTAATTTCAGTCCTATAAGACACAGAGAAAAGAAACCAGCTGTGCCCACCTGCACTTCTGACTTATAGAACTGTGAGATAATAAATTTGTGTTGTTTTAAGCTGTTATGTGTGTGGCAATTTGTTACAGCAGCAATAGAAAACTAATTTGTCAAATTGGACCCAAATTATATATATGTGTGTGTGTTTTATATGGATCCAAAGTTTTTCAAAGAAATAGTCAAGGCACTAACTGGAGCCAAAATTAGATAAGTATTTTCTGAAATTAGTGAATGAGGAAATAAACCGGGAACAAAATATATTCCAAATGACACCAAAATAAAACTTACTTCATATCATGTTCAAGTCTCAGCATCTCTATGTATAAGAATGATTAATCTCCTACAGAGATAATGATACCTGCTCTGTAAGTGTGTAATGTAAAAAGGTAATATCTTTCTCCTTGATAAAAGGTAGGCTTCTCTAGGGCTGGAACCAAACTATCTCTGACTTGTTTCTGTTTTTCCCATTATCTCTTGCATGTTAGTAGGCAGTCAACATATATTGATTGCATGCTTTCCATGGACCAGGCATTGCTCCAAGTGCTTAGGATATATTAGCGCACTACATAGACAAAGATCTGTGCCTTCATATAAATGTAATAAATAGGTAAATTAGATGCCATTTTAGAAGGTGATACATACCATGGAAAAAAGAAAAAGTAATTCTGGGTGAATGATTAGAAAGAAGAAGAGAAATGGAATTCCTATACACTCCCACCTTTGTGTCTGTTTCCTGACTAGCACCTGTACCTGCATGACCTTCCTTTCTCTCTGTGCTGCAAATAAACTGTATGCTCTTATCCAGAGCTAATCCCTCCCTTGTGTATTGGAACTCATCCCCTCTCTCATATTCAAAGAATTTACCTAAGAAAGGGTCCCCCCTTAGGTAAGGGAAATATCATTTTTTCATTTTCTATTATATCAATCCTATTGTTGTATAAACTTTTGCTATTTCTCCCTTAAAAAGTACATTGTGACCCCATTTCCCCCTCCAGCTATTGCTACCTCTGCCATTTGTCTCTTCTTCCTATTAAAAATTTAGTCATTTATGGCTGGGAGCAGTGGCTCCTGCCTGTAATCCCAGCACTTTGGGAGGCCAAGGCGGGCGGATCACGAGGTCAGGAGATCAAGACCATCCTGGCTATCACGGTGAAACCCCGTTTCTACTAAAAAATACGAAAAATTAGCTGGGCGTGGTGGCGGGCACCTGTAGTCCCAGCTACTCGGGAGGCTGAGGCAGGAGAATGGTGTGAACCGGGAGGTAGCCAAGATCGCGCCACTGCACTCCGGTCTGGGTGACAGAGCGAGACTCCATCTCAAAAAAAAAAAAAAAAATTAGTCATTTATTTCTATCAGTGTAGATTCATGCATGTTTATTTTATACTTTGGGTTATAATCAGTTCTGTATTATTAATTTTTATTGCTCAAATAGAAAAAGTTGTTGGAAGACAGAGTATATGGATACAGATGCTGGTAAGGAGGCAGACATGGAAGTGAGAGTCTATGGACATTCTACTCTGATTGCTTCAGTTTTCTTCAGGAAAGTAAGGAGACCTATTGACAGTGAGGATGGGAGATGCTAGGGATCTTGAAGTATTCAGTAAATATTTGTAGAATGAACAAATTAACCTCTCATAGGAAAGCTGTGAGGATTAAGCACTGTAAGGAACACATTTTCTAGTTTCCATATTTGATGTTTTGTTATCTGGGGCCTTGCTGGCCCTGGAGGGACTGCCCCTCTCAGGGCTGGTCAAAGTCGATTGATTCTTTGATTCATTTCTGTCTCCTGGGTCAATTTCTAAATTGGTTCTAAATTTAGTGGAGTAAAGCATCAGCCTCTCCAGAAACCAGACGCAACCCAAACATACCCACACTTGACTTCTTTGAATTTTTCTAGTGCGTGATGTTTTCCCTTTTCTCTGGCCTTTGTAGATTCTGTTCTTTTTGCCTAGAACACTCCTCTCAGCACTATTTGCCTGATTTACTCCTAGTCGCCATTCAGCCTTCTCTGGGACTCCCCTTCTTCCCTCACAAGACTAAATTTAGGAGGCTTTCCTTTAAGCTCCTATAACACTCTATACTTTTCCTATCATAACTTGTGTTATATTGTAATTTAAATGATTTATTCAGCAAGTTCGTGGCTTTTTTTCTGAGATGGAGTCTCGCTTTGTCGGCCAGGCTTGAGTGCAGTGGTGTGATCTCTGCTCACTGCAACCTCCGCTTCCCAGGTTCAAGCAATTCTCCCTGCCTCAGCCTCCCAAATAGCTGGGATTACAGGTGTCCACCACCACGCCCAGCTAAGTTTTGTATTTTTAGTAGAGACAGGGTTTCACCATATTGGCCAAGCTGGTCTTGAACTCCTGACCTCAGGTGATCGGCCTGGCCTGCCTCAGGCTCCCAAAGTGCTGGGATTACAGGTGTGAGCCACTGTGCCCAGCAAGTTCATGGTTTAACAGCCTGTCTTCCCTGTTAGACTTCCTATCAGGTCCTACCATGTCTAACTTGTTTTGTTATGTTTCCCACACCTAGTACATTTTTGGCATTAAATAAATATTTGTTGTTTGGATGAATAAACTTTAACCAGTGTAGCTCATTTTATCATTATATTTTTTTCTTTGAGAAATCCTAGGACTGTAGCTGTGTTTGTGTTCTTTATTACTTGATTTATACTTGTTCTTTTGTTATTTTTGTTATTTTTGCATTTGTTCTTTTCCACACCCACAAGTTCTTCTTTGAATACAATTATTTGACTAGCACTGCCTAAATTCTAGGGAGATGTCCATTTAAAAGCAATTTCCCTCCTGTCTCACAAAAATATAAGTTTTTTTCCCTTTCTCTCAAATGATGGTGGTGTAGACAACCTGTGAAATCTCAGATCTTTCTTAGAGAAGAAAGGATCAGACATATTAAGGAGCTGTTATCTATGCTTCAGTTTTGAGGATGATTCTCATTACCTGCCATTTGTGAAGCACTTAGCTTCTTTTCTTTGTGTTGTAATTGGCATTGAAGAGATCCTGGTAAGTCTCTATCCCTGAGGAAAGATATGAAAATATTTAGGTTTACTACATATGTGAAACCAGCAGACATTAGTCCTATTCATCAGTTTCTGCTACTGGAATGACTGTAGCATCTCAATGTATCCAGTCTACTATCCTAAGGGATCTTCTATTTAGGATAGTCAATAGCTACAGGATGAACAGTGAGAAATTGTTGGCCACTGAGATCCACCTCTGCCCTAAACTTGCCCATCACCCCTCCCTTAAAAAATTGTAATTTCAGGCCAGCCATGGATGCCCAACACCCCTCCCTTAAAAAATTATAATTTCAGGCCCGCCATGGTGGCTATAATCCTAGCCCTTTGGGAGGTCAAGGCAAGAGAATCGCTTGAGCCCAGGAGCTCAAGACCAGCTTGGGCAACATAGCAACACCCTGTCTCTACAAAAAACAAAAAAAATTAGCCAGATGTGCTGGCATGGGCCTGTAGTCTTAGCCACTCAGGAGGCTGAGGTGGGAGGAATGCTTGTGCTTGGGAGGTCAAGGCAGCAGTAAGTCAAGATTGTACCACTTTGCTTCAGCCTGGGTGACAGTGAGATCCTATCTCAAAAACAAACAAACAAACAATCAAAAAACCAGTTATGATTTCTCCCATTTTATACAATAGGAAACAGAAGCTCAGAGTAATTAAATTATTTGTCTCAGGCTATACAGATAGTAAACGGAAGACCTGAGATTCAAACCTAGATTTGTCTGACTCCAAAAATCAAGGCCATAATGCTTTACACTATTCCTGTTGTTAGAAATAGAAGTTGTTTCAATTTTCTTTTTTTTCTGGCTCCAACTCTCAGCCTTGAGTTTCAAATTTTAAAAAAGTATAAACATTGTTGTGGTGAATACCCTTACAGAGAAACCTTTGCATCTATGACTATTTTACAACTTTCTTTTTAAAAAATCTTTTACAACTATTTTACAATTGTCAAATTGCATTTTTAACAGCATATGTATGTGTGTGTAAGAGAGAGAAACAAAGATAGAGAACACTTCTGAAAATCTGAAACCCTGGGTGACCTTTCCTTTATTCAGCAAAGTAAAATCTGGGAAAGGCAGGAACATATTAATACTTTCAAGATACTTTGTACAGATCTGAAGTAATTTATTAGTTTAAGAACACAAAAATACATCATATAAAACTGGGTTTGCTTATAATATGATAAGTAAAATTTAATTACATTTAAGTAAATGTGACTTAACTCAAACATTTAATTATAATCAATTTTATAAATTTATTTAAAGTGTCTTTAGTTTTGATACTTGTAGAACTAAAAGTTTAAAAAATATGAAATCTCATAGTTTTGTGGCTTTATAAGAAGCAGTTCAAAAAGTAAAACTAGGCCGGGCGCAGTGGCCCACGCCTATAATCCCAGCACTTCGGGAGGCCGAGGCGGGTGGATCACGAGGTCAGGAGATCAAGACCATCCTGGCTAACACGGCGAAACTTTGTCTCTACTAAAAATTAAAAAAAAAAAAAATTAACTGGGCATGGTGGCGGGCGCCTGTAGTCCCAGCTACTTGGGAGTGGAGATCACGTCGCTGCAATCCAGCCTGGGTGACAGAGCGAGACTCTGTCTCAAAAAAGTAAAACTAGAAGAAATACTAAACATTGTAGTTAAACAAAAAATTATTATGGTTTATTAATTTAGTATCCCCTAAAGTATTTATTAGATTCAACTCATTTTCAAAGAGGGGCCTGGGAGAAAAGGAGATAATAGTCTCAGAACTGTTCTTAACTTTTGAAAGTGGAATTTTATCTAACTTGTCTTATTTTCTCAGTTTTTACTAACATTGAATTCTTCTTCTGGTGCTTCCTCTTTATTACCTACTTGAATTTCTTCTCTTTCTCTCATTTTTTCAAGACAGAGTCTCCCTCTGTGGTCCAGGCTGGAGTGCAGTGGTGTGATCGTGGCTCACTGCAGCCTTGACCACCCAGGCTCAAGAATCCTTCCACCTCAGCCTCCCGTGTAATTGGAACCATAGGTGCATGCCACCATACCCAGCTAATTTTTTATTTTTTGTAGAGACAAGATCTCCTTATGTTGCTCAGGCTGGTATTGAACTCTTGGGCTCAAGTGTTCCTCCCTCGTCTACTTCCCAAAGTGGATGGCAAGTGTGTGCCACTGTGCCCAACCTGTAATTTCTGAAGCTCGGGTTTGTCCTTATTCAGATAGGTTATTTTATATTTATTTTACTGATGTTCCTTGATTCATGATGGGGTTACATCCTTATAAACCCATCATAAGTTGAAAATATTGTAAATTGAAAATGCATTTAATTCACCTAACCTACATAGCTTAGCCGAGCCTACCTTAAATGTGCTCAGAACACTTACATTAGCCTACATGTGGGCAAAATCATCCAGCACAAAGCCTATTTTGTAATGAAGTGTTGAATGCCTCATGTAATTTATTGACTGCTGTACTAAAAGTGAAAAACAGAATGGTTATATGAGTATTTGAAGTTGAGTTTCTACTGGATGAGTATTGCTTTTGTACCACTATAAAGTCAAAAAATGGTAAGTTGAACCATTGTTAAGTTGGGGACCATCTGTATTTCTAAATATAAACAAATTTCTTCTGCATGATGTAAAAGATGCGGTAGATAGGGAGATACTATGTTCTCAAGAAGCACGAGGAAAGCAGAATTCAAGGCAGTGTAAAGATCTTTTTTTTTTTTTTCCTTTTGAGACAGGGTCTTGCTCTATTGCCCAGACTGAAATGCAGTGGTGCAATCTTTGCTCACCCTATGCTCTGCCTCCTGGGCTCAAGCAATCCTCCCACTTCAGCCCCTGGAGTAGCTGGGACTACAGGTGTGCACCACCACACCCAGCTAATTTTCGTATCTTTTTTTGGTAGAGGCTGGTCTCAAATTCCTGGGCTCAAGTGATCCACCCACCTCAGCCTCTCAAAGTGCTGGGATTACAGATGTGAGCCACCATGCCTGGCCAGGCAATGTAAAGTTCTTATTACCTGTCTTTAAAAAGACACTCATGGCACAATTTCAAACCTTACCTTGGATCAAACATTGGAGAAAGACTTTATTTTACAAAGTTTCAAATGACTGAAGAACCTTACATTTGGAATGAACCTAATCCAACCTCTCATCTAATGTAGGAATTCCCTTTACATGTAGTGTTGTCTAGTTTTTGCTTAACTACTTTCAGTGACAAGGAACTCACTACCTCAAAAGATAGCTTGCAGAGTCAAGGACACTAGAAAAGATACACTCAAAATAGAAAGTAAATGGATAATTGTGAAAGAGGAAAGAAATATTCTTCTTATGATCTGATAAAATATAGAACAGGCTCTCAGTTTTGGTCATTAGTGGCTGCTTATTTAAATTTGTTGTTAGGTGACTGAGAAAAAGCTATTGTTAATGTCACAGGCAAATCTCCCTTCCCAATTTTAGCCCAGGGTCAGTCATGGCTGATTTACCAGCTTTTGTTTACCAGCTATATTTGAAATATAGACCCTTTTTCTACACTTTGACTTGGTTATGGGTTTAGGTCTTCTTTATGATCTTCTAAATTTTTTCTTCTTTAAACTGGCACTCAAAATATCTCAAGGTATAACTTATAACTCCTTGAGCCCCCTAGAGTATTTTGTATACTAACATAAAAACAGCTTCTTCTTTGGGAGGACAGGAGGGAGAATTCTGCTCTTCCTATCAAAAAAGATGTATATCTTTTTCTTTTCATAAAAAATCTTTCTCTTCAATTCCAATGTTTTGTTTTATAACTAAACTTACCATATAATAAATATTTGAAGAGTATTTTAATTGTTTCATCATAATCTTTATGAGTATTTAATATATTAATAATTTTTTTTTTTCTGAGATGGAGTCTCACTCTGTCACCAGGCTGGAGTGCAGTGGCATGATCTCAGCTCACTGCAACCTCTGTACCCCAAGTTCAAGCAATTCTCCTGCCTCAGCCTCTTGAGTAGCTGGGACCACAGGCACATGACACCACACCTAATTTTTGTATTTTTAGTACAGACAGGGTTTCACCATGTTGACCAGGATGGTCTCGATCTCTTGACTTCGTGATCCACTCACCTCGGCCTCCCAAAGTGCTGGGATTTGTGGGCCACTGTGCCCGGCCAATAATCTTAATAATTTCCTTTTTTTAAAGGGCTTCCTGGTAAAGATCGGAAAACCTGCTAGACAAAATTCTGAAAGAGCTGTAGCACTAACAATTCTTTATCACAATACATTTATCACCCTTAATATATTCATTACTTACCTTTTACTGTGGGAGATGGGTACCTTTGTTAGAGGATTCAGCTTAAATTTTGGTTTAATTTCTGAAACTGCCATGTGGCCAGTGACTCTGTCTGGAATTCAGAATATACAATTAAGAAATCAGTTTACAGATTAATTCTTTATATTCTTTTGCAACTTTTTCAGCTCAAAGCCTGGAGTTTGAAAAGTCTAGGGCCTCAAGGAATGGTAATAGATGCAAACTCAACTTAGAGGTATACATAAAGTTGGAAGGTCATATGGAAACACCCCTTCATTGTTCCCAGATTTCCAAGCAAAGTTGCTTGTCGCTGCTCCCCCTTCAATTAGTGTCATTCTGATCCTATGTAAAAATAAATGCCAAGTGAAATAAACCAGATACAGAAAGACTGCTATATGATCTAACTAATATGTGCAATCTAAAATAGTCAAAGTCATAGAAGCAGAGAGTAGAATGGTGGTTGAGGAAGGAGATATGGGGAGATGTTGGTCAGTGATACCAAGTTTGAAGATGAATAAATTCTGAAGATCTAATGAACAGCATGGTGACTATAGGTAATAATACCGTACTGTATACCTGAAACTTGCTAAGAGATTAGAGCCTAAGTGTTCTCACTACACACACACACACACACACACACACACAGTAGCTATGTGAAGTGATGAATATGTTACTTAGACTGATTGTGGTGATTATTTAACAATGTATACATATACCAAATCATCTAGTTGTACACTTTAAATAATACAAATGGTGCCATGTGACACAGATAATGACCATTCTGGAAATATTTGGAAAAAGTTATTTAAAGATGCTATTTAATTATGAAATCAGTAGAGCATTTCAAGTCATAATTGACAAAGGATAAAATGTATTTGCCTACTTGTTTACATCTTAGATACCTGCCTAGTAGTAAGTAGTTTTTCCCAGGGTGTCTTTTTGGGAGACTCATCCCTGCCCTGTCACTTCTTGGGAACCAACTGTTTTTGGTTTGTTTTTGTTTTTAGATGTGTAAAAAGGCTTTATTTGCAGGGGAGCAGGAATTTAATAAAAGAGACCAAATCCCATGTCATTGTCTGACTCTTTGGACACCTCCTCCTCCTCCTCCTCTTCTCCTCTGCTGCAGCGGGGGTGGAACCAGCAGCAGGAGCTGCAGTGCCTGGGGCAGCAGAGACAGCCACAGCCCCACCGGCAGGTACACTGGCAACCTTGCCAATATCCTGGGTAATGACGTCTTCAATGCTTTTTTCATTCAGCTCACTGATAACCTTGTTGAGCTGGTCGTCGTCCGCCTCGATGCCTACGCTGCCCAGGATCCTCTTGATGTCTTTGGCGCTGAGGGAGGGGTTGCCCCCGAGGGCAGCTAGCAGGTGGGAGGCGACCTAGCGCACCTGGGCCGGAGTCTACGGCAGCGCAGCGGCGGCGGCGAGGCCTCCATGCATGCAACCTCGGCGGAGTCAGGGAGGAAAAACCCAACTGGTCTTGGTTAACAGTAGGAATGGGGGTGGAATACAATGCAGTTCTGCTACCCTAGACCGCGGAAGGAACTCGTGAATTACCGTCGCCTTTCCACTTGGCATAGTTTGAGAAACAGGGCTTATGGACCAGAAGCTGGGTTGGTAGGACTTCCCCCTTTGTTGTTCTTTTCTTTCCAACTATCTTTTCAAAATGTAGAGTGTATTTGATAGCTCACTGATAAGAAAACTAGGTTGCTGACTTAGGAATAATGGATAATTGAATACTATTCAACCATGAGGAAAAAAGGTCTCTGAATGTTTGGTTAGAATTTGATCCATTTTCCCAGGTCTTCACCTCAGAGCCCAGAAAGCAGTTGTTTCTAAACAAATCAATTACAAGTCCTCAAAATCTGAAAACCTACCACAGAGCTGGGAACTCCGGAATGGCTCAACAATTCAGGCACTTGAAAGGTGCTGTGAAATCATCCCCATGCCTCAAAATAATCATTACTTTAAAAAAATACCTTCAATTCTCATAGATTATAGATTTTTAAAAAAGGACTTAGCATAGAATCCTACAAAATCGTGATATTTACCTACTTTTAAGCCGTGCTACCTACCACTTCTGGGCTTCAGTCAGATCAGGAATCCAATAAAGGGTTTGTTCCATCACACAACTGTGACCTCATTCACTGCTCAGGCTCAAGCTGAGGGAGAGAATGACCCAGGAGCTCCTTCCAACCTTACAGCAAGTGTGTTTTCAATGTGGTTCATTCAGCACCCTTGGTGTATATGAGGGGTTGTGATTTATAAAATCTGAACATTTTGACACTGTTGGGATTTCAGGGAAGGGGGAGAATTTTTGTTTCAAGTTCTATGTTAATATATTTTCATGTTAATGTCTTCATCAGGCTGGGCCTGGTGGCTCATGCCTGTGATCCCAGCACTTTGGGGGGCTGAGGAGGGCAGAGCACCTGAGGTCAGGAGTTCGAGACCAGCCTGGCCAAATGATGAAACCCCCATCTCTATTAAAAATACAAAAATTAGCTGGGTGTGGTGGCACACACCTGTAATCCCAGCTACTCAGGAGGCTGAGGCAGAAGAATCGCTTGAACTCAGCAGGCAGAGGTTGTGGTGAACTGAGATCACGCCCCTGCACTCTAGCCTGGGTGATAGAGAGAGACTCTTGTCTCAAAAAAAAAAAAAAAAAAAAAAAAAAAAAGTCTTCAGTCAGTTGAAAGTTGTTCAGTTAAAACATTTTACTCAGCTGCCTTCACTGAATGGTGATTAAGAAACATTTCATTAATTGTTTAAGCCTAGGAAGAGGGGCAAAAAAACTCTCATAGGCTTATAGTCTTTAGTATTATTGGGAAAAGTGATTTCAAAAGAGTAAATACAGAAAAGATTGTTTTAAGCAGAAACCAAGGTATTCATGATCTGACATGTCTCATGGCATTGTAAACCCTCTAGTGCAAGAGTTAGGGGTGTCTTTAGTCTATTATGGCTAAGGACAGATATCTCTGGCACCCAAGGCTTAGCTAGTTACATAGTTGGGCCCCCAAAAGTACTTCACATTTCACTTGCAGCAATTCTAGAGGTTTCCTATTCCTGCTTAGGGGAACTTGTTCATTATGAGCATAATTTGACTTTAACCTAGTCTTTTAATACTTGGTACACTGCCTCCCATTCTGGACAGGAACAAACAAGGAAAGAAAGGGAAGGCTTAATTTATAAATTAATTCAACAATTATTCACCAAGAGCTCACTATATTAAACACTACTTATTTTTTATGTTTTTTTGTTTGTTTGTTTTTTTTTTTGGTGAGGTCTCACTATGTTGCCCAGGGTTGAGTGCAGTAGCAGGATCATGGTTTACTGCAGCCTCGACCTCCCAGGCTCAAGTGAGTCTTCCACCTCAGCCTCCCCAGTAGCTGGGACTACAAGGTGCAGGTCACCATGCCCAGCTAATTTTTTTGTATTTTTGGTAGAAATGGGGTTTCACCATGTTGCCCAGGCTGGTCTTGAAATCCTGGCCCCCAGTGATCTCCTTGGCCTCCCGAAGTGCTGGGATTACAGGTGTGAGCTACCACGCCAAGCTTTATTGTTGTGTTACAGCATTCTTTATATATTTTGGAGACTAGATCCTTATCAATTACAAAATTTACAAGTATTTTTCCCTATTCTGTGGGTTGTCTTTTTACTTTATTGATAATGTCCTTTCAGTCACAGAAATTAGTCCTAGAATTTTAAAGCTGAAAGATAACTAGTAGATCATCAACCTAATTCTACCCCCAACCCACCACACTTTTAAAATTATACTTTAAGCTCTGGGATACATGTGCAGAATGTGCAGGTTTGTTACATAGGTATACACATGCCATCGTGGTTTGCTGTACCCATCAACCCATAATCTACATGAGGTACTTTTCCTAATGCTATCTCTCCCCTAGCCCCCCAATCCCCTGACAGGCCCTGGTGTGTGATGTTCCCCTTCCTGTGTCCATGCCCACTTCATTTTTCTTTTATAGAGACAAGTTCTTTCTCTGTTAGCCGAGGCTGAAGTACGGTGGTGCAGTGATGGCTCAATGCAGCCTCCAATTCTTGGGCTCAAGTGATCCTTCCACTCAGCCTCCTGAGTAGCTAGGACTACAGTAGGCAAGTACCACCATATCTGATTAATTTTAAAATTTTTTATAGAGAGGGGTCTCGCTGAGTTGCCCAGGCTGGACTCATACTCCTGGCTTCAAGTGATCTTCCTGCCTTGGCCTCCCAAGGCTCTAGGATTACAGGTGTGATCCAGTGCTCCAGGTCCTCACTCATTTTATTTTACTGCTAAGGACACTAAAGCCCAATGAACTGAATTAATTTCTTTAATGGCAGAGTCAGGACCACCTGCTTTGTAAATTGTGCTGTGATACCAAATAGGCTACAGTGTTCTTAGAGATTAAAAAAATCACAAATGGAGCATTAGAAAAGAATATAAAATACATGATAATCACATATGATTCAGTGTGGTGTGGACCATAAAGGCATAAGGAACTTAGAAAGACAGTTGGAGAGATAATGGTGTTCATTCACCTTATGGACAAGTAGATGGAGGATAGAAACTGACAAGACAATTAGGGAAAGTAACTATGGTATTAAAAAATGTAAGTCAAAGTGTTAAGCCCCCATCTTTACAATGGCTTCACATCAGCTTTCACACTCACCTTTAATATCATTTGCAGTTTTCAGCTTATGCAGAGTCGCCATTCCTTTTGCTTAAAGACAAGATTAAGAATCAAAATTACATAAATTTCTGAAGTTATGGAAAGTAGACTAGGAGGGCATAATTTATCTTATTTTTTTTCCCCAGATGAGTGAAAAAATTAAGAAAATGTCAAGGTTATATGGGATATCCATCCTCATTCATATTGTTTCTTTTGGTGCCTTAATGTATTGCACTCCAAAAGCAAAAACTGAAAAGCACTATAGTGTCATCATTGAAATCAAGACTGTTCATTTATCATCTTTTAGGATGTAAAGAAGTGAAATGACTTTGAAATTCTGTTGATTCAGGAGCAAGATGATGATCTGTTACCCACTTCATTTTCATGAATGCTTTGTTTAGGAAGGTATTAACTAATTAGATACCTTTTAATGAGATAGATATTTCTTTCTAGTGAATTATCCTATGAAATATGTGGGTATAATTAACTAACTGAAAAATCTTCCTTCACCCCACCCCTTTCTATGGGCAGAACAACCAACCAACAAAACCTTAATAGTACAGATTTAACTCTTTTTCTTTTCTTTCCTCTAAAAATGTGGGGGAGTTTTGTTTTCTAAGTGTGAGGAGATTAATACTCAGGAGAAAAGTGTGGCTATAATAACTCAGTTTCCTGTATTTGGTTTGGTTTGGCCTGGCCAGATAAACCAACAATGTATTATTTTAATATCAAAAAAAGGTCCATGGCAGATGATGAAAACATGGAAACATGGAAAATGTTTGGTGATCCCTTTAGGTTATAGAGGCCATATAAGGTAATATATAATGCAGAAAGCAATACATATAAAGAAGAAATATCTTTCCTATGGGGAAAGGATTAATTCTAATATAAAACACATAATCTGTAGAATTCAGAAAAACCTACATCTATAAAGCATCTTTTCTTTCCCTGCCTCTGATCTGTCATTCTCTCTCTCCCTATTGCTTGGCTCTTCGCCCTTTCTAAATATTAGTTTGCTAGAGGCACCCTATGCCATTCTTAGACACTGCATGCGGCAATATTCTGGTTGAGAATGTGACTTAGAAGATGACAAGAAGCAGACTTTATTTTTATATGGCGACTTTTTTTTCTAAATGTATATTAGACTTTCTCTGTGTTCCTAGTAAGTACAGTTTTAGAAATTCTCACGTGGAACCTTACAACCCAAGTGCCTCTGAAGGCCAGAGTGAAGCTCTGAATGTTCACCACCAAATAATAAAAATTTTAGCAGGTCCTGAAGTTGTTCATATATAAATGTTATTTCCATGTTATCATGCTTACGTAACTGAAATTCACCTTTATTCTTTAGAAAGTAGAAATAGTGAAATGGAAATGGGAGAAAAAGTTATTTAAGTGTGAAAAGTGCCATTGCCATTATGCCTATGTCTGTCATCTGAAATTTGAGTGTGAAGACTTAAATCACAGTAGTACATTTGAAGGCAAATGTGTCAATATGGCATTAAGAAATAAAATTTGGCCGGGCGCGGTGGCTCAAGCCTGTAATCCCAGCACTTTGGGAGGCCAAGACGGGCGGATCACGAGGTCAGGAGATCGAGACCATCCTGGCTAACACGGTGAAACCCCGTCTCTACTAAAAAATACAAAAAACTAGCCGGGCGAGGTGGCAGGCGCCTGTAGTCCCAGCTACTTGGGAGGCTGAGGCAGGAGAATAGCGTAAATCCAGGAGGCGGAGCTTGCAGTGAGCTGAGATCCGGCCACTGCACTCCAGCCTGGGCGACAGAGCGAGACTCCGTCTCAAAAAAAAAAAAAAAAAAAATTTGTCCCTTAATACTTATATGAAAGAATTTTTTTTTTTTTTTTTTAGACAGAGTCTCACTCTGCCACCCACGCTTGAGTGCAGTGGTGCAATCTTGGCTCACTGGAGCCTCTGCCTCCCAGGTTCAAGCAATTCTCCTGTCTCAGCCTCCCAAGTAGCTGGGAGTGTGCCACCAAGTCTGGCTAATTTTTGTATTTTTGTAGATCCAGGGTTTCACTATGTTGGCCAGATTGGTCTCTAATCCCTGACCTCAAGTGATCCACCTGCCTCGGCCTCCCAAAGTGCTGAGATTACAGGCGTGAGCCACCGTGCCCAGCCAAAGAAAACTTTATAAGTGAAAATGGAGTATTATTGAGTGAATCTTTGAAATAGAAACCAGTATTTGAAATTTCTAAAAATATGAAACATACTTTAAACATCTAAATTTTCTCTAAGGCACTGCAGACTTCACAGAATAAAATATATTTCAGTGGCAGCAAGTGGATTGGGGCTTATGAAGTCAAGAAAGCATGTGGGCGAGCTGGGTAGCCATGCGAAATGTATATGTTTGATAAAGAGACTGGAAGAAAAAGAAAGAATAACACTAGAAAAACAAGGGGAAGTTGGAGCAAAAGAAAAAAATATATTTTTAGAGATATGGAGAAGATAATAAAAGAGAAAAAAAGAAAAAGTGGAAGAGGAGAAAGAAGAATGATAGAAAAGTAAGCAAAGAGATCTGTAGTGTTGTGCCTTTCTGGCTTTATAAATGGTTAACAGCTAATTCTGATATGGGTGACTTGCCTGTGTTACCTGGGGTTGTTAGTTTTACAGAACTGTTTGTTCTGAGTTGCCCAGATAGGAGGGATTATCTTAAGAATGACGTTGATATAGCCGTTTTGGTTAGTGCATCTTCAATTATCTGAAAGCGGGAGACTAGAACCTCTATCAGGTAACCAACAAATATTTATTGAGCATATACTATGTACTCAAAAACTAAGCTTTTGTGAGAGCGGGAACCTTGCTTTATCTTTTGTTCACTGCTAAACTTTCTTGAACAGTGTCTGGGTGCTCAAAAAATACTTATTGGTGAACACAGAACTTATACATGGCCATGGGAGATGGTTTCCAGTATCTCCAACTGGTAACATGATTTTAAATGCTGGGGATAAAAACTACCAGATGAACATTCCTGAAAATTTTCCAGTACCAGCAACAAAAGCAGCAATAGATGGGATAGACTGGACTTATTAAAAGGTATATATATTTTTCTTTTACAAATAAAATACAACAGGACTAATTTGGAAATGTTAGGCATGGGTACCTAGAATTTAAATTTATTTTTTTATTAAAATTCATTTTGTGGATACTTGCATAACATACCTTATTCTTACATCCTCCTTTTTTTTTTTTTTCTGTTTACAGACAAGATCTCACTCTATCATCCAGGCTGGAGTGCAGTGGGGCAATCACAGGTCACTGCAGCTTCGACCTCCTGGGCTCAAGCATTTCTCCCACCTCACCCTCCCAAGTAGCTGGAACTACAGGTGTATGCCACCACACATGGCTAATTTTTGTAATTTTGTGTAGAGATGGGGTTTTGCCATGTTGTCCAGGCTGCTCTCCAACTCCTGGCCTCAAGCAATCTGCCTGTCTTGGCCTCCCAAAGTGCTGGGATTACAGAAGTGAGCCACCATGCCCTGCAACATCCTCCTTTTTTGAAACACAGTCAGGCTTGCAGAGACACAGCAAATTTCTTTTTTGTCACACTTGTTAGGAATGTAGATGCAGAGAACAAACCAAAATTACTTAAAAATGAATTCAAAATTGAGGTTGTACGTGTGTGGGAAGAGGGCAGAGACAAGTTTTACCTTGCCTCTGTTGATCAATTTCACAGCATAATGTTCAAATCTCCCATTCATTCTTTTCTGTGTAAGCATGGAACACGACATTTTCACAATAAGAAAATTATTTTAGAAATAATTAAATATAAGGGGCCTACAAGCAAAAAGTACTGAGATTATGTATTAAATTTCAGAGGCATCCAGAAAGGAACTTTAGATTATTAGCTATATTTATTTATTTATTTTTTGAGATAGAGTCTCTCTCTGTCACCCAGGCTGGAGTGTAATGGCATAATCTCAGCTCACTGCAACCTCCGCCTTCCAGGTTCAAGCGATTCTCCTGCCTCAGCCTCCCAAGTAGTTGGGACTACAGGCGCACAACATGACACCTGGTTAATTTTTGTATTTTTAGTAGAAATGAGGTTTCACCATGTTAGTCAGGCTGGTCTTGAACCCCTGACCTCAGGTGACCCGCCTGCCTTGGCCTCCCAAAGTGCTGGGATTACAAGCATGAGCCACCGTGCCCAGCTTAGCTATATTTATAAACAAGTAAGATTTTAATATGAGTAAGAAAATGGAATGTAAATATATTGGACATGGATAAAAATGCACAGAAATTATGTACGCATAAGGAAAAAATTTGTGGTGATAAAAGTATGGATTATCATTGGAGGACAGAAATAAGAATTATTAAAATTTCCTTTTTTCATCTTGTCGTTTGCTAAATATAGAAATTTTCTATAATGAACACATATTACTTTTATAACCAAGAAAACACAGATAAAAATACACATATAGCATCAGATTACAATTTTATATCGTATCATAAATTTTCACTTACGTTTAAACTTCTTCAGGCCCTCCATTATTGACTTAACATTAATCTTTCCATTTCCTGTAAAACATTTTGGTTTAGATACAGAGGCAGTCACATAAAAATTCATAAAAGTTGTGAAATTATTAAAAACAACATAGTAGGCTGAAATTCTTCCATGAGTTAGAAGAACTAGAGACATTGGTTTGCTTTGGAATTTGGATTCATTTTTCTGTCAGGTGAATATGATGGAAAAAAAAGACGAACTTATGTTTTGGCTCTGTCTGGCTCTGTCCTTCAGGCTGGAGTGCAGTGGCGTGATTATGGCTCATTGCAACCTTGACCTCCCTGGCTCTAGCGATCCTCCCACCTCAGCCTCCCGAGCAGCTGGGACTGCAGGTGTGTGCCACCACACCCAGCTCATTAAACATTTTTTTTTTTTTTTTGTAGAGATGGGGGTCTCCCTATGTTGCCCAGGCTGGTCTTGAACTCCTGGACTCAAGTGATCGTCACACCTTGGCCTCCCAAAGTGTTGGGATAACAGGTGTGAGCCACCGTGCCTGGCAAGGATGAGTCTTTGAAAGAGACATCTATTTCTACTTTTTTTTTTTTTTTTGAGGCAGGGTCTCACTCTGTCACCCAGGCTGGAGTGCAGTGGCATGATCTTGGCTCAGTGCAACCTCTGCCTCCTGGGTTAAAGTGATTCTCATGCCTCAGACTCCCAAGTAGCTGGGATCACAGGCATGTGCCATCATGCCCAGCTAATTTTTTTATTTTTAGTGAGATGGGGTTTTACCACGTTGGCCAGGCTGATCTCAAACTCCTGGTCTCAAGCAATCCACCCACTTCAGCCTCCCAAAGTTCTGGGATACAGTTGAGCCACTGTGCCTGGCCCTATCTCTACTTTTTAAAAAGCAGTTCATCTTTTCTGTGCTTTTGAAAATTGTATTAATCAAAGGGACAAAAGTAAGAAGGAACAAGGTATTTTGAGGGAACTGTGGGTAGTTCAGTTGGTTTGGAGCATGACATGTTGGAAGTAGTAGAGGAGAGAGCTGAGAAGTACATGGGGGCTATGTTGCAGTGGGTTTTGTTTGGACTTTTTTGGGAACATAGCAAGGAGTCATGAAGGCTTTTGATCACTGTTATGTAAAGATTGATCTGAAGGCAATCTGCCTTTTTAGAAGCAGGATACAGAGAGATAAATGAAACTGAATATGTTGGCAAGGAATTATTTAAGAAGTAATTTTTGAAGAGAGACTAGAGGAGGTCAAGAGTAGTGGATTTAGAAGGGTTGTAAAGAATCTTTTCAACTGGCCGGGCGCGGTAGCTCATGCCTGTAATTCCAGCACTTTGGGAGGCTGAGGCAGGTGTATCACTTGAGCCCAGGAGTTGGAGACCAGCCTGGGCAACATGGTGGTACCCTGTCTCTACAAAAAATACAAAAATTAGGTGGGCGTGGTGTTGTGTGCCTGTAGTCTCAGCTTCTTGGGAGGCTGAGGTAGGAGGACATCTTGAACCCAGGAGACAGAGGTTGCAAGGTTGAGCCCAGGAGCTGATATCATGCCACTGCACTTCAGCCTGGGTGACAGAGCCAGACCCTGTCCCAAAAACAAAAAGCAAAATCTCTTCAACTGAAGAGAAGAGAGGAAGAAGACATAGGCTAAAAGGAAGAAATGAAAACCTAGAGAGAACAGAACATGGAGATATGTTTGCAATGGATAGGTTCAAATTTATTGCTATAAAACCATGATTTGAGAAACCTAATGATTCAGTGTCTCATCTCCTACTTTCAGATGGGCTTCATAGAGAAAATGAAGTATGTCTCCTTTCTTCATCCTTGTATTCCTAGTACCTAGTATAGGGCCTGACATATTCAGTGACCAATAAGTATTTGCTGGTTGAACAAATCAATATACTCTTTTAAATTCAAGGCCAGAGCTGAATAGAAACTCTCTGACAACATCACTGAAGCATTATAGTAAGAAATGCTATCCTCTGATGCACTTAGAACATCTTTTTTTTGGGGTATCAGAACAAAAAAGAAGTGGTAGAAATAAAAAAGTATTTATATAGCACAAGGGCCAGTGAGTAAGCCATGTAAATAGACTCAATAAACAATAATAAAATTTCAATAAACAAATCAACCAACCCCAAATTCCCCTTCCTTCCCCTGTGTATCTCTTCCTAATACTCATTTTTGTTTTCTAGTTTTACTTGCTGTAATATTTTTCCTTATTTTTCAGGATGGAATCATACCCTCAGGCACAACTTAGCATATTGGTTGTATTTGTGATTTAAGAAACGAAAGTCAGGCACAATCTTTTTTTTTTGGAGACGGAGTCTTACTCTGTCACTAGGCTGGAGTGCACAGGTGCGATCTTGGCTCACTGCAACCTCCACCTCCCGGGTTCAAGAGAGTCTCCTGCCTCAGCCTCCTGAGTAGCTGGGATTACAGGCATATGCCACCATGCCCGGCTAATTTTTTAATTTTTAGTAGAGACGGGGTTTCACCATGTTGGTCAGGCTGGTCTCGAACTCCTGACCTCAGGTGATCTACCCGCCTCAGCCTCCCAAAGTGCTGGGATTACAGGCGTAAGCCACCACGCCCAGCAAGTCAGGCACAATCTTAACATATCATGTCTTTTCTTCATGGCGTGACGATCACTTGATAGGTCTTTGATAGGCAAAAGGTGGCTTGTGCACCAGCATCGTTGGCATCATCTGAGAGTTTGTTAGAAATGCAGAATCTCAGGCTCTACCCTATTCTTGAATGGAAATCTTCTTTTCTTCTTCTTTTTTTCTTTTTTTAAGGAGACAGGGTCTTGCCCTGTTGCCCAGGCTGGAATGCAGTGATGCAATCATAGCTCATTGCAATCTCGAACTCCTGGGCTCAAGTGATTGTTCTGCCTCAGCCTCCCAATTAGCTAGGACTATAGGCATGTGCCATCACACCTGGCTAATTTTTAAATTTTTTTTTGTAGAGACAGGGTTTCAGTCTGTTGTCCAGACTGATATTGAGCTTTTGGCCTCAAGAGATCCTCCTGCCTCAGCCTTCCAAAGCACTGGAAGTATAGGTGTGAGCCACCATGTCTGGCCCCCAAATCTGCATTTTAACAAGATGACCAAGTGATTCATATGCACATTTAAGTTTGGGAAGCTATGTTCTAGGTGTTACAAAGATAAGGATAATTTCTGAGGATGTTATGTACAGGACAACAAAAATACACTTCTTTTTGTTTTTTTTTTGAGATGGAGTTTTGCTCTTGTTGCTCAGGCTGGAGTGCAATGGCACAATCTCAGCTGACTGCAACCTCCCATCCTGGGTTCAAGCAATTCTCTTGCCTCAACCTCCTGAGTAGCCGGGATTACAGATGCCTGCCACCACACCCAGTTAATTTTTTGTATTTTTAGTAGAGATGAGGTTTCACTGTATTGGTCAGGCTGGTCTCGAACTCCTGACCTGAGGTGATCCACATGCCTCGGCTTCTCAAAGTGCTGGGATGACAGGTGTGAGTCATCATGCCCAGCCCAAAAATACACTTCTAAAAGGGCAACGTAATTATAAAACAAACACCTCACCATTAAATTTCAAATGAGGCATCAATTCCTTCATTTCTTCTTCCGTGAGCTCAATCCCTTCGCTTACTAGAAAGTTGTCTAAGTTCTGGACATCAATCACCTCACCTTAGAAAGGGTGAGAAATGAATTGTAGAAATATTACAGAATTATTTGCAAAGGACAAAGAACACTATCTGTGCTTATATACATTATCATTCAGAATACAAGAGTCAGAAACAAAAATCTTTAATTCTGATTGAAAGAATCAGAAAGTGGCTACGAAGAAGAAAGTAACCAGGGGTTAGGAATTGACTGGTGGGTTGTTGCAAAATCCACAACAAATTAAAATACATATAGAGACTTAGTTTTATGTAACAACATTACAGATTAATGTAACAGGGGAAAGATAGAATTCCATCACTCTAACACAGGAACCATTTTTAGTTTTTGACATTCCATTTTGGTCTTGGCAATAAGACTGTACTTTTACAATGTGGAAATCTAATTATGTACAATTCCATATTTTGCTTTTCCAACCTAAAATTATTCCTTCATAAACATGTTTCCAAGTTGCCATATAATCTTTACAGTTAGCATTTTAACATGTTATCCCATTAAAC